TGTGTCAAAAAAGGCACAAGCTTGGGGTGAGTATAGGGAGCCAGGATTTAGGAGATTGCAGAAGAAGGAATTAGGGGCCAGTGGCAAACAAGTCAGGCAGTGGTGGCCAAGAACAGAAGTCTGGTTGGCCTGTGTATCCTTCCTTCATCATGATGGCACACTAGGCCCAGAACTTGTAAATGGACAGGGACAGAGCAGATAGTCTTGTGCTAAGTTTATTTCTCTACATTGCTTTTCTGCCCACCTTGAGTGGGAGCTCTTTGAGGGGTAAGCCTGTTGTAACCAGCTTTAAACTCCTTAAAGCATCCAGCCAAATATCTTAGAGAGTAAGTCCTCCAAATGTATTTGTCAAGCAGATTTAAAAGGTAATTATCATTTGGGATTAATACAGGGAAGATGTATAAAGTGAGACCCAGTCCACAAGATAAGCATAAATATTAGTGTCACTGAGGTAGACAAAAGTGCAGCTTTGCTAGTGAATTAAGTTTCAAAGTAAATGTGTGAAACATATTTTTCGAGGAGTTTTCATAAAATAACCACACCTGAAGTTTGATATATATGAATATAGGAGGGGGCTACAATTTACCAATAGCTTTTCTATGTTCAGACTGCTAAAACCTGCTGGATACATTGCAAATGTATGAAAAATGGTTTAGTTTGGGGAAACAATTTTTATTCATTAAGCTGTTTGTTTTGATAGATTAAAAAGCACATATCTTTTTAAAACCAATGTTTATTTCATGTTTTGAGTGGGAGCAAAAATAATTGCAAGTTTGAAATCTTTGAAATATGTTTTAATGCTTTTAAAATGACTAAAATGTGCCAAATTTACCCACTGCTTAAGTCATTCCAATGTTGAAAGTTTGTTTCGGTTTCCAAGCTTCATGGAACTAGGTAATATGTTACTGGATTATGTCTTTTAAACTGCTGTCAGTGTCTGTATCCTGGTGGACTGATTAGAACTTTTGACACACCTAGAGTAAGATTTTGCAAAGAGGAGATATTACAGTTGTGTGAATGCTTGTTTTGAACTTTTAAAAAAAAATGGATGTGAATTTTTTGAATATAATAGAATTATGCCAACATGATCTCATAATGGCATTTCAGTTGGTAGATTTAGTATGCATATACCTGGTATTTATGCTAAGAATTAGTTTTCAAAAAATCCTGACTGCCTTTCTAATTTAAAAGATATTCTTGTTTTGATGAGACCAGGTATTTAAAAGGTTTGAATGAGGCCTATAAAATTCAGACCTAAGAACAGGTTCCAGTGTTTTGTGAGTGCCTACTGACATATATTGTAAGTTACTGGGAGTTCATGGAATTGTAGAATTCCTTGGACACATATTTGCTAACTAGTAGTTCATAATTTATTGCACACTTCGTAAGTGGTGGGCACTATGATTTAAATATATCAGCTATTTGTTCCTCACAACAGGCCTATGAAGTAGGTATGAGTATGATCATCATTTTATAGATGAGTTGATGAAGCTAGAAAAATTAAAATGCTTTGTCTTAAGACCATGTATATAGTCAAGATTTGAGGCCAGTTATTCTGGCTCCTGTGTCTGTGTTTTTATCTGCGATGAGCTAGGCATTGTTTTGAGATGATGCTTTTGCACCGCACTTCTAAGAAAAAGAAACTCACCAGAATTACAGAATTTCAGGGGGTAAAAAGAGACCCCTAAAGGTCATTTAATCTAAACATCTAGCCAATGAGCATGTTCTTAAGCAGTCTGTAGGCTGCTTTGTAGATGGGGAGAAATAGCAATGAAGTGGAATCTCTATAATGAGCTGTTAAGGGACAGAAACAATGCCCTCCTTCCAGGTTAAACATGTTATATCAGGCTTTTATTATATTTACTGCTGGGTCTTAGGGTCTGGGATTCGGCCCATGTTATTTCCAAAGCCTTATAAAATGAGCTGTGATACTGCAGGTTTCTACCATTATAGCTGTAAATACAAAACACACAAACACTCAAAGGCATCCACCCAAGTATAAAATTACTAGGGAAATAGCAAGGATGAAAAAACGAATTGTTGGGCTTGGGAGATAATTACTGGTGACCTTGGTCTGGCTAGATCTTGATAGGAAATGAGAGTAATTTCAGGGTCAGGGTGAAAGTTGAGTAGAGATTTGTGAAGGTCAAATGGTGTAGAAAGATTTCAGATGGTGCAATGACTTGCGTAAATTATTATTTGGTGGAATGAGGGTGTCTGTGTACTTGATGCTTCTAAATTTGTTGAAAGAATAAATGTAGGGAATAAAAATCTGACAACTATATCAGAGATGCCGTCATAGATATCTTTTCCCAAACTTTTTCAAAGTAGAAATAGTATCTTATTTGTATTTGTATCTTCGGTGCTGTGTATGTAAGTCTTAATATGACTTGAATTTATTTGTATGTAAAAAGTGCTCTATGGGTGGAGGGGAAGTCATCAGGAGGTTAAAGCTTCATACAAGAGGTCACGCTTAAGTATGACTAGGGATTTTGTAGGTAGAGAATATTGGTTGTACTGTGTGTATGTGTGGGGAGGGGCTGAGAGAGAGGCGGCAGTGGGGGATGTGATTCATCCCCATTCCTGTTTCCTTTTATGTGAAAGAAAACAATTAGGATACCACTCCTGGTTTCTCTTTCAGTCATGCTTCCTGTAAACCAAAAATAAAATCCTAAGCTTCCCAACCGACTGAATGGCCCGCATCTGGGCCGGGGTGATCTCAGAGATACCTGAAAAACTGAATTCCTACCCACAAAAGGAAGGGAGGTTGGACACATCTCATTAAACCCCCTCCCTTTTAAGGTTTAGGCATAACTAGGCAGCATTAACATTAGAGATCATAAGCCTGACAAAACAGACTCTTTGTGGCAGTAAGATACCAAATTCCAACCTGATTCTGATATAACATCATATAACAAATAGCAGACCCTGAAGGAAATAAAAATGCTTTAGCCCAAAATGTATTTCTTTGGCATATTTTGAAATGGCCTTGCAAAGCTGTCTTTTGTGGGAGAAATTTGCATCTATAGAGAATCTCTGTTAATATGGCAGGCCTCTCGGGGATCTAGGAGAGATTAAGCATTTGACACTTTTTAAGGTACAAAAGGAGATATTCACCATACATTCTCTCTGAAGGCTGTCATCTGGAGGCTTCATCTACATGACAACCTTGGTCTCACAACCCCCCCCATCTTAACACAAATATTCTATTCTATTGACATCCTCTTTAGATGAAGCTTAACCAATTGCCAAACAGAAAATCTTTAAATCCATCTATCATCCATAAGCCCCATGATATCGTTTGGATCTGTGTCCCCACCCAACTCTCATGTCAAATTGTAATCCCCAGTGTTGGAGGTGGGGCCTAGTGGGAAGTGATTGGATCATGGGGGTGGAGTTCTTATGAATGTTTTAGCACCATCCCCGCTTGGTACTGTATAGTGAGTGAGTTCTCAGGAGCCATGGTTGTTTAAAAGTTTGTGGACCTCCCTACTTCTCTCTTCCTCCTGCTCCAGCCATGTGAAGTGCTATTTACCCCTTTGCCTTTCGCCATGATTGTATGTTTCCTGAGGCCCTCCAGAAGGTGAGCAGATGCCAGCATCATGCTTCCTGTATAGCCTGCAGAACTGTGAGCCGATTAAACCTCTTTTCTTTATAAATTATCCAGTCTCAGTTATTTCTTTATAGCAGTGCAAGAATGGACTAATACACACCTCAACTTCAAGGTACTATACCTCTGATATAGGAGGTAGAAAGAAATTATTTCGGCAGATAGTGAGGGCAACAGAGTCCTTGGAAGAGCTTCCCTTCTAACAATAAGCAGCCCCCAAGTCATTTCTTTTGTAATGAAGGGCAGCCTGAAAAATTGAGCTACAAACATAGATAAGCAAGCTGGAAGCTTGCACGGGGGGATACTGGCAGCTGTGTCAATAGAAAAGGGCTACCTGAGGGCCAGGCATGCCCAACATGGAAGCTCCATCTTCCTTTTTTGTTACTACATGTACAGTAATAGAGAAATTGGGCAACATGGTGCAGCTCAGGCAGAGAACCTGCCTGCATAATAAAAGATTCAGGTGGGGGCAGCCAGAAATTCACACCCTATGCAAGTGGATACTTACTCCTAACCAGTTTTTCGCACCCTATGCAAATGGCACGCCTGGTTCAACCAGTCTTTCATGCTCTATGTAAATCAGACACTGCCTCCTCACCAGCTCATCTATAAACCCCCCTGAATTTCACCATGGATCCAGCAACCCATTTCTCTGGGACCCCTTTCTGCAGCAGTGAGCTTTTTTTTGCCTATTAAATTTACACTCTTAACCTCACTCTTTGTGTGTCTGCGTCCTTGTTCTCCTTGGCTATGGGACAGCAAACCTTGGGTGTTACTCCACACAGCAAGGCTGCTTCACCTCTTTAGGCTGAAACAATGTACACCTTTCATGTACAGATTTAAGATTTTACCTACAGTTCCTGTTTCTCTAAAATGTATAAAACCAACATGGAACCTGACCACCTCAGACACACTTTTGCAGGACCTCTTGAGACTGCTTCCTGGGCCATGGTCACACATATTGGCTCAGAATAAGCCTATTTAAATATCTTAGAATTTGTTGTTGTTGTTGTTTTTGGTTAACATTTCCCAGTGAAGATGGAGTGATTTATCTTGTTGACTATAGGATAAGGAACTGGGTGTTTGTATGTTGCTCAAGTCTTTCCTCCACCCTTTTCTTTGTAGTGAGCCTTTCCTTCATTATCAAAATTTAATAATGGGGACTGGGCACAGTGGGTCACACCTGTAATCCCAGCACTTTGGGAGGCTGAGACAGGTGGATCACCTGAGGTCAGGAGTTTGAGACCAGCCTGGCCAATATGGTGAAACCCCATCTCTACTAAAAATACAAAAACTTAGCTGGACCTGGTGGCAGGCACCTGTCATGCCAGCTACTTGGGAGGCTGAGGCAGGAGAATCACTTGAACCCAGGAGGTGATCTTGCAGTGAGCTGTGATGGTGCCATTGCACTCCAGCCTGGGCAACAAGAGTGAAACTCCATCTCAAATAATAATAATTATAATGGGGCAGGGAAATGTACTTGGGGGAAGCTTGCAGTTGTCTAGTGCTTTCTGCACCTGGGTCGATGGGTCTGTAAAGTTTTGGGTATGGAGTATCAGGAAACCCATTGCTACCATATATTAGCCCACAATCTTCAAAATCAACTTTATTGGTAATAAAGGCATTACTTGATTCTATCTGCTTGCTTTTTTGTTTTGTCTCAGTTTATTCTGAATTTGGAGAAGGTATTGAGCTGCTTCAAACACCAGCATAGCAGCCAGAGACAGGCATTCTTGGAAGAGAAAATGGTAAGTGCAAAAATATGTAGAACTGAGAATTCATAATGTTTTTGAGAAGTAGTCAGAATTCTGCATGACTTTAAGAAGGACCATACTAGAGAGGATAATTGAGGAAGGTTTAGTATTAAATCAAGAAAGGAATAGTATGACATTTTAAATAGACTTTATTTCTTTGGACTTTGTGGTTATCAACATATATTTTGGACAGCCCTAGAAGACCCTAAGAACTTCCTAGGGGATTCATGAAGCCAAAATTGCATTCAGATAATACTAAAACATGATTTACCTTTTCTACACTTGTTCTCTCATGACTGTGCCAGGGAGTGTCCTGGAGACTACATGATTGCAACAGATCAAATGCAGAAGCAGATATGAGATTTCCACTTCTACTATAATAGAATAAGCCAGTCACTAAAGAGATTTGTGAAAATGTAAAACAATGTCATGTCTCACTAGTAGGGTTTTTTTTTTTTTCCATTTGAAATAAATATAAACCACATAAACCAAGATCTTTGGTGCCCTCAATAATTATTAAGACTATAAAGAGGTCCTGATACCAAAAAGTTTGAGAATGACTACTATAGACAATGGAGAGCCCTTGGAGGTTTTATATCAGGGAGTCAACACAATTTATACTAGATACCTAATTCTTTAAAAGTTACAAAGAATGGCATACCTAGTGTTGGCAGAAATGTAGGAAATTGGTATACCTATGTTCCAGTGGTAGGAAAATGAATTGATACAGCCTTTAAGAAGGGTCTTTTGGCAATAAAAGTGCACAACCTGGCGAAGCATGGTGGCTCACACCTGTAATCCCAGCACTTTGGGAGGCCGAAGTGGGAGGATCTCTTGAGACCAAGAGTTTAAGATTAGCCTGAGAAACAAGACCCTGCCTCTAAAAAAAAAAAAAAAAAAAAAAAAGTAAAAATTACCTGGGTATGGTGGTGCATGCCTGTGGTCCTAGCTACTAGGGAGGCTGAGGCAGGAGGTTCACTTGAGTCTAGGAATTACTGAAACTATTCCAAATAATTAAGGAGGAAGGATTCCTTCCTAATTTAGGCTTTTTAAACAATTTTATTATTATTTTTATTTTATTTTATTTTATTTTTGCAATGGACTCTCGCTCTGTGGCTCAGGCTGGTATGCAGTGGTGCGATCTCAGCTCACTGTAATGTCTGCCTCCCGGGTTCAAGCAATTCTTATGCTTCAGCTTTCTGAGTAGCTGGGACTACAGTTGTGTGCCACCACACCCAACTAATTTTTGTTTTTTGTAGAGATGGGGTTTTGCTATATTGGCCAGGCTGGCCTTGAACTCCTGACCGCAGGTGGTCCACCTGCCTCCCCCTCCCAAAGTGCTGGGATTACACACATGAGCCCATGTGCCCAATGTCTTCTTAACTTATTCTATGAGGACATTGTCATTCTGATACCAAAACCTGGCAGAGATAAAAACGACGAGAACAAAAAGACAACTTAAGGCCAATATCCTTGATAAACATTGATGCAAAAATTCTCAAAAAAATACTGGGAAACTGAATTCAGCAGCCACTCCAAAAGTGTATCCACTATGATCATGTAGGCGTTATCCCTGGGATGCAAGGTTGGTTCAACATACACAAATCAATAAATGTGATTCATCACATAGAACTAAAAACAAACAAAAACATGATAAGCTCAATAGATGCAGAAAAGTCATCAATATCCATTCACATAAAAAACTCAATAAACTAGGTATTGAAGGAACATACCTCACAAGAGTAAGAACCGTATGTGACAAACCCACAGCCAACATCACACTGAATAGACAAAAGCTGGAAGCATTACCCTTGAAAACCAGCACAAGGTTGCCCTCTCTCACCCCTTCTATTCACCATAGTATTGGAAGTTCTGGTCAGGGCAATCAGGAAAGAGAAAGAAAGAAAGGGCATCCAAATAGGAAGAGAGGAAGTCAAACTATCCCTGTTTGAAGATGGCATGATCCTATATCTAGAAAACCCCATTATCTCAGTTCAAAAGCTTCTTAAGCTGATAAACAACTTCGGCAAAGTCTCAGGATACACAATCAATGTGGAAAAATCACTAGAATTTTTATATGCCAACAACAGTCAAGTTGAGAGCCAAATCATGAACAAACCCCCATCCACAACTGCCACAAAAAGAGTAAAATACTGAGGAATACAGCTAACTAGGGAGGTGAAAGATCTGTACAAGAAGAACTACAAACCACTGCTCAAAGAAATGAGAGAGGACCCAAACAAATGGAAAAACATTCCACGCTCATGGATAGGAACAATTGGTATTGTTAAAATGGCCATACTGCCCAAAGCAACTTATAGATTCAATGCTATTCCTATCAAACTACCAACGGCATTCTTCCTGGAACTAGAAAAAACTATTTTAAAATCTATATGGAATTGAAAATGAACCTGAATAGCCAATGCGATCCTAAGCAAAATGAACAAAGATGGGGGCATCATGCTACCCAATTTCAATTTCAAACTATGGTACAGGGCTACAGTAACCAAAACAGCATGGTACTGGTATGAAAACAGACACATAGGCCAATGCAATAGAACAGAGAACACAGAAATAAGACCACACACCTACAACTATTTGATCTTCAACAAATCTGACAAAAACAAGCAATGAGGAAAGGATTCCCTATTCAACAAATAGAACTGGAATAACTGGCTAGCCATATGCAGAAGATTAAAATGGGACTCCTTCCTTACACCATATGTGAAAATGTAACTCAAGATGGATTAAAGACTTAAATGTGAAACCCAAAACTATAAAAACACTGGAAGACAAGCTAGGTGATACCATTCAGGACATAGGCAAAAGCAAAGATTTCATGATGGAGACGCCAAAAGCAATTGCAACAAAAAAAGCTAATTAAAGAGTTTCTGCACAGCAAAAGAAACTATCAACAGAGTAAACAGACAACCTAAAGAATCGGAGAAAATCTTCGCAAACTATGCATCTGACAAAGGTCTAATATCCATCAGCTATAAGGAACTTAAATTTACAAGAAAAAAAAAAACCATTAAAAAGTGGGCAAAGGATATGAACAGAGAGTTTTCAAAAGAAGACATACATGTGGCCAACAAACATACAAAAGAAAGCTCAACATCTCTGATCATTAGAGAAATGCAAATCAAAACCACAATAAGATACCGCCTAACACCAGTCAGAATGACTATTATTTTTTATTTTATTTTTTTAAAAAGCAGATGCTGTCAAGATTGTAGAGAAAAAGGAATAGTTATACACCATTGGTGGGAGTGTAAATTAGTTCAGCCTTTGTGGAAAACGGTGTGGCAATTCCTCAGCGCCTTAAAAGCAGAAATATTTTTCAACCCAGCAATCCCACGACTAGGTATACATCCCAAAGAATATAAATCATTTTATCACATGCATGTGAATGTTCATTGCAGCAATATTCAATAGCAAAGACATGGAGTCAACCTAAACACCCATCAGTGATAGACTGGATAAGGAAATTTGGTACATAAACACCATGGAATACTATGCAGCCATAAAAAAGAATTAGATTATGTCCTTTTCAGAGACGTGGATGGAGCTGGAAGCCATTATCCTTAGCAAACTAACAGGAACAGAAAACCAAATACCACGTGTCCTCAGTTATAAGTGGGAGCTAAAGGATGAGAACACATGGACACATAGAGGGGGACAACACACACAGGGACCTGTCAGATGGTGGAGGTGGAGGGTGGGAGGAGGGAGAGCATCAGGAAAAGTAACTAATGGGTACTAAGCTTAATAGCTAGGTGATGAAATAATCTGTACAACAAACCCCTAGGACAAAAATTTACCTATGTAACAAACTGGCACATGTAGGTTTATTGCACAAACCTGAACTAAAAAGTTAAAAATATTAGGCACTTGTGGTAGCACGTGCTTGTGGTCTCAGCTACTCAGGAGGCTAAGCGAGGAGGATTGTTTGAGCCCAGGAGGTTGAGGATGCAGTCAGCTGTGATCACATCACTGCACTCCAGCCTGGGCAACAAAATGAGATCCTGTCTCAAAAAATTAAAACCAAAAAAAAAAAAAAAAAAAAAAAAAAAAGAATGGGCAGATGCTCTGAATAGACATTTCTCAAAAGAAATGGCCGTACAAATGGCCAACAATTATATGAAAAAATGCTCAACACCAATAATGATCAGGGAAAATGCAAATCAAAACCACAATGAGATATTATCTCACCCCAGTTAGAATGGCTATTATGAAAAAGACCAAAAGTAACAAATGCTAGTAAGGACAGGAGACAAGGGAACTCTTATACTCTTATACACTGTTGGTGTTTAAATTAGTAAATACAGCCATTATGGCAAATATTATGGAGCCTTCTCAAAAAATTACAAATAGAACCCCGTCTCTACTAAAGATACAAAAATTAGCCGGGCATGGTAGGACATGCCTGTAATCCCAGCTACTCGGGAGGCTGAGGCAGGAGAATCGCTTGAACCCAGGAGGTGGAGGTGGAGGTGAGCCGAGATCGTGCACCATTTCACTCCAGCCTGGGCAACAAGAGTGAAACTCCATCTCAAGAAAAAAAGGAAATACATACAATCCAGCAAACTCACTACTAAGTATTTATCCAATGAAAAGGAAATAAGCATATCAGGGAGATGGCTGTACTCCCATGATGATTGCAGCACTATTCACAAGCGCAAAGATACAGGGTCAACCTAAATGTCCATCAATGGATGAATTAAGAACATGTGGTAAATGTACACAATGGAATACTATTCAGACATAAAAAAGAATGCAGTTCTGTCATGTTTAGCAACATGGATGGAACTGGGGACATTATATTAAGTTAAATAAGACAGACACAGAAAGACAAACGTCACATGTTCTGACTTATATGGTTGCTAAAAACCAAACATTTATCTCAGTAAGGCAGAATAGAATGATGGTTAGCAAAGGTTGGGAAAGGTTGGGGGTGGGGCAGGGGGAAATGAAGTAAGGTTGGTTAATAGGTACAAACACACAATTAGAAGGAATAAGTTTTAGTGTGTGATATACAGTAGAGTGACTATAGTTAACAATAATTGATTATATATCTCAAAATAGGTAGAAGAGTTTAAATGTCCCCAACACAAAGAAATTATACATGTTTGAAGTGATGAATATCTTAAGTACCCTAATTTGATCATTGCACATTGTAGGCATATATTGAAATATCACATGTAACCCATAAATATGCACAATTATTATATATGAACAAAATAAATTTTTAAAAAGAGAGAAAAGTGCATACCCTTTGGCCCAGAAATTCCACTTGTAGAATAAATACTATGACTACTTATTGTGGTATTATTTATAATGATTAAGAAATAGAAAACAACTTAAATACCCATGTTTTAGGTTTTGCCCATTTTGGGAATCACTTCACTGCCTGGGCCAGACTGAGCCTTAATACATTTCATTATAATGAGATGGAGAGTTCTACATTTCAAGAGAAAGAGGCTGATCAAAGGATCTATATGCCTTTTATTCTCTATCAAATTCAGCACCCAAATAATATTTCAAACTCACCTGCACTGACTTCAGGCATCCTCCTGAAGGTAAAAGTCTTTAAAATCCAAAACTGGTGTTGTTCCCCGAAGGGCCCAGGAGACAGCAGTGGTGGAGCAGTTTTTCATGGCCACACAGCTCGAAGTCTGCAGATTTGGGTACCCCACCTGGGAAAATTGTAAGTCTACAATAAAATTATTTTACATCTTTCTGTTGCCATATTTGGGATAGAAAAATAGGAATTTTCCCAAAACCTATTATGAAGACATGTTTCTTTTAAAAAATTCAATATGGTTTAGAAACTATATAAACCCCAATAAAAGATTCACAGAAGTGGCTCATTTTTCAACAGGGCAATTGTAGATTTCTCAGTGTAAGAACACAATGACCTTTGACAATATTAGATTTGTTCCCAAAAGAAGAAAAAGAATTGCATGGTCAGCACTGCAATTTTCAAGCTCATGTGAGATTTCCCTAAGAATCCCCAGCAATAGTCAATAATAAGGAATTAGGAATTGGTAAAAATTATGGTATGTAAATACAATAGGCTCCTAGTAACCTCCAGAATGAGGATGTAGATATGATTTTATAGACATGGTAAGAGGTTTACAATATGATGTTAAATGTAGAAAAAATTGCTTATAATAAAGATTATGCATATATGATTACATAATTGTTATATTTATATATTGCATTGGACTCCTCTGATTATAGAGAACAGAAACTCAGCTTATGTCAAGTATTGAGGGGCTTTATTATTATTTCAATACATGGAGACAAGAGGGGGAATCGCAGCCATGCAATCAGGCTTCACAGGCAGAAAAGGAACGAAGTACTTACTTGGCTTCATGGAGCCTGAAACAGGCCCTACAGAAGTAGTGTTGCTGCTTTTTCTCATGCTCTTAGTGTAATCCAGCTCCATTTTCTGCATTCTAGTGGTTACATTACCCTCCATGGGTAACTGTTTCTCGGAGTCATGTCTTTGATTTCTATTTCTACCTCTTCATGGCATATGTATCGTGCCTAAGGTATATGTCTACCAGTACTTACCTTTTTCCCAACTCCATTACTCTCTTCTCATATTTATAATTCAAATTCTTGAGAGAAAATCTGGTCAAGCGAGTTAATATCTGTTTTCTCTGTTTGAATCACACCACTCAAAAGCCACTGTACAGCCTGTGGATGGGTTGTGTGAAATAAGGTTATATAGCATAGAAAACAGCTACCTACATTTAAGAAGTCACTTAGAGCCAGTTTCCTCAGCAAGAGAATGAGGATAGAGTACCTTGGAAGAAGGGTGTGGGCATGGTATGGCATTTTGAGCCTTGGACTGTTCATTAAAAATACATTTACATATGCATTTACGTGTAGAAAAAACTCTGAAAGATGATTTTTCCAGTACATCAGCAGCAGTTATCTTTAGGTTGAATAATTACAGATACATGTTAAAATTTTCTTTTTGCCTACTTTTCGTTTCTGATTTTTCTATAATAAATGTATAATAAGGAAATGAAGACTACAAGTAAAAACCAACAAAAATTAACAATAAAAGTGACTGAGATTGATGATGGATGGGGAAGGTCAGGGGAAAGGAACAGACAGTCTTGTTTTTGAAAACGGACAGTCAGATGCTGTGCCAAGAGCCTCTCATAGGGTAGGTTCCTTTCAGGAAACAGAAGACACTTAAAAGGAGAGGAGAGTTTAGTCAGAGGTGCTATGCCATTCAGTCCTTACATATATATCAGGAAACTGAGGTGATGGAAAATAATTGCCAAGACTCAAACCCGGGCCCTATGACTCCAAATTTGTATTTCTCCACTCCATCATACTACAAGCACAGAGAATCAAGCAAGGCCACCAGGTAGGGTGTAGTAAAAAATGAAGTATGGGTTGAGCCTCCCTAATCAAAAGATCTGAAATGCTCCAAAATCTGAAATTTTTTGAGCACTGATAGGATGCCACAAGAGGAAAATTCCACACCTAACCTCATGTGATGGGTCGCAGTCAAAACTTTGTTTCATGTACAGAATTATTTAAAATATTGTATAAAATTACCATCAGGGTATAGGTATAAAGCATACATAAAACATGAATTTTGTGTTTATACTTGGGTCCCATCCTCAAAATATCTCATTATGTATATGCAAATATCCCTAAATCAAAAAAAAAAAAAAAAAACAAAACTGAAATTCCAAACACTTCTGATCCCAAATATTTTGGTTAACGGATACTCAACCTGTATTTAGAATTATTTTAGGAAACCTGACTGAACTGGCTTCAGCCAGAATGGTAATAGTCATTGGCCTGCAGAGCTACGGCAATACAGAGAAGGCTTTATCCAGGGTCCAGTGAAGTGATCCAGGCCCAGTTTCTCTTTCCCCTTTTCCAGCTCTTCTTTCTCGGGCAGGCTTTCCTCTTTAAAATAACTTATCCCTTGCCTACAGCTCTCTGGGTGGCATGCTTCCTAGGCTGGATCTAGTAGGGGAGAACAGAGTGCCCATGTCTCACCATTTCCAGAGACAAGTTCACTCTGACTGGACCAGCTTAGGTCAGGGTCTGAGCCTGAACCAATCACAGAATGCAGGAATGTGATAGGCTTATTCGTTTAAGCCAGTTAACACCTCCCCAAGAGTGAAGGTGGGGCAGCTACCCCAAAGAAAACAGGGTTTCAGGCCCGGCGCGGTGGCTCACGCCTGTAATCCCAGCACATTGGGAGACCGAGGTGGGTGGATCACGAGGCCAGGAGATTGAGACCATCCTGACTAACACGGTAAAATCCCGTCTCTACTAAAAATACAAAAAATTAGCCGGCCGTGGTGGCGGGCGCCTGTAGTCCCAGCTACTCGGGAGGCTGAGGCAGGAGAATGGCGTGAACCCGGGAGGCGGAGCTTGTAGTGAGCTGAGATCCGGCCACTGCACTCCAGCCTGGGCGACAGAGCGAGACTCGGTCTCAAAGAAAAAAAAATAATAAAAAGAAAACAGGGTTTCATACCATGAAGGAGAGGAAATATTGACTGGGTAGCAAACAGCAAGCATCTGTTACAAGAGGAAACTAAAATAACTCAAGGAAGAAAGAGCAAGGGCCTGTGAACTGAAGCAGCACGGTAGTCAAGAGGGAAAGACAATGTGGGAGAAGGAAAAGGACTTCACGCGTTAGTTATGTTAAGAGGATTAAAGGAACAAGGAGGAGCTCGGTAACATTTTGAGAGTTTTAGCCTGGATGACTGTGTAGATGGTGATGAATTTGGCTGAGATGAGAAAATCAGAAGGGAGGCAGATTTAAAAAAGTGATGAGTTTCGTTTTAGACACATAAATTCAGGTTAGGGGCATGAAGACAACTTCAGACAATTTTTGTAGAGATCCCCATGTCTTATTTTTTATTCCACTTTCTGTATTTCGCAGACAACACATTCTTTCCTTTACACAGTCATATTATGATTCTTTTTATCTTTAAAATTCTTACAGTGATAACATAAATTGTGATTGCCGTATCTTTGAATAAAAAATCGGTATTTAAAAAACCAGTACAAACTGCATTCAAAGTTGTATCACCAGTTTCTTAATCTGGATCTAGCCAGAGGCCTTTAGCACAAATGGGGATTTTTTTCCCCCCTCCTTTTCGTTACCCATCCATACAAACCCTCCACTCTCCTTGTCCCTTCCCTGATAGTATCCTGGATCCTCTCACATATTCCTTCCATTAAACTTCCACAAAATGAGGATTCAATCAGTGATAGAGAGGTTATCTGCTTACTGGGAGCTATCTGAATCTTATATATACACACATAGACAAAAGGTCCCAATCTAAATTAAAAATACTCTACTGGAAGCTGCTTTATGCATGAGGGACCACTGGTTATGCATTTCGCAGGAACCAATTCAGAGAGAGGATTGAGGGAGAATTCTTAATCAAGATACTACTATTTTTTCACTGAGGAGTTTTAGGCCCATAGAATTCCCTTCTAGCTATATAGCAATGCTATGTCAAACAAAGGAAGTTCTTCCGAAGTACCTTGCGTTTGTTTGACATGGCATTGTTTTAAGTTCTGGGCCTGGGACAACCTTCCAGTTTGGGATTCAAAGCTGTTCGCTCAGTGGTCCCTGTCAGGGTTCAGACATCGTTGCTCGGGGTCTAAGTCCGTCTCTAGCAGTCAGAAGGCTCCTCAGTGGAGCCATGTCTTTTTCTTCTTCCTACCCAAGCATCTTGAACAAAGCATGGAAAATAATAGAAACTGGTAAAAAGGGACCAGGGTCTATGAAAATAGTGCCCTGGGACTATTCGCTATTCCACTATATCTTGGAGAGCTAAATTAAGAATAAAAAAAGGGTGTAGTGTTTAAAAGAAAAACAAATATGCTCTTTCAAATCAGCAAGTAAGTCAGCATAGCCCAATGGTATAAAAGTATGAATTCTGCAGTTGAACTAACTGAATTTAAATCCCAACTTTATCACTTACCAGTTTCGTGACCTTGTCAAGTTGCTTAAAACTTCTCTGTGCCTCAGCTTCCTCATCTGTAAAGTGTGGATACTAGTCGGGCCTACCTCATGGGGTTATGAGGTTAAATGAGCATGTTTTAATTGTGCTTAAAACAGTGACTGGTACATAGTAAACTCTACTTAAGTGTTAATAGTAAGAAAGGATTATTACATGTCTAACTATTTGAGAAAAACTAACACTCTGGCCATACAGCTTTATCAAAACAAATTTAAGAAGTTATATGCACAAATACAATTATAACAAATATAAGACAAAGTACAGGTAAGTTATGTATGTAATTTTGGAAACTGTATAGTCTAAATAATACAAGCTAGAAAATCATAAGGGGTTTTATAAAAATAAGAAGAAATATATAAAATCTATGTTAAAATCTCCATTAATAGATTTAAAAGTAAACACTAAAATACAAATAAGGTCTGCAGTCTATTTACCAGTCTTGTACCAAAGTCAGTTTCTTGGTTTTGGTGATGGACCACAGTTACGTAACAAATTATCAATGCAGGAAGCTGGATAAAAGGGATGGTAGAGCTCTGACTGTATTTTGCAACTTTTTGTGGGTCTATAACTGTTTCAAAATAAAGTTTTTTAAAAAAGTGAATGAAACTCGAAAAAAAAACATATGCAACATAAGGAGGGAAAAATTTCATAGCCTTGCTATAAAAAAGCTTACCCATCAATA